TATTTATGATATTACAGTTAGGGCCTTGTCACTAAGCCATTGAGCACCACATTTTACTTTGTTGTTTGAGAGAATAGCTATCAACACTGAGAGTACATCAAAGATATATATTTTGACTGGGCTGTATTTTATTTTGTTGTTTATTTGTAACTGAAAACAGTCTCTTAGAGATTATTCTTTCTTGGAAATGCCAAAAGTGTCGAAAAATAAGACATTTCGTGGCCAAAATCGATGGAATATTTTTAGTCCTATCAGCTCTTTTGAGCTCGCTTTTGAGCCTGTTTTGTCCTCAACATCGACGCCATATGGATCAACACCAGTCAATGAAATTGCTTCCATACGAAAGATAACAAGTCAAAATAACGATAGAAGAGAAGATTTCGATGGCGAATATGGTTATAGACTGATTGCACTTTCAAATTTAGGTAATGCATTTCAGTCGTTACACTAGAAAATACATGCATGCAGAAACCCTCGCCTTGCTGACAAAACCATTGTATTTTCCGAACATGAAGTTCCAAAGTAGTTGTCATGGTAACACGATAATTCTTTAAGAATATTCTTACAAATGAAAAATCGCCTAAAAATATCACTTTTAATTACAAAATTATTAATTTCCCAACATAAATATATGTTAGGTATGTTATTATACGTAATATAAGCCTCAATTTAAGGCAAAATTCGACCACAAACGCTTCGCAACACGTTTTAAAGTCACTAGTTTTCTTTATAAAACTAAACTGCCTTTTAAAATGGCTTTATCGATAAACTTTGAGTTTGCAATAAAATGATTTCAAATTCTCGCTTGCAAATAACTCAGTGCTTTCTTTTTTATTTAGAAATTCAATATCATATTAAAAAAGGGAATCAATATTAATTAAAGATACACTAAAATTATATGCTGTTTGTTTAGTTGTTTCATATACGCAAAGGCCGTCGGGTTTTAAAGCCATTATAAAATCAATATTTAAAACAAAGTTACCTTCGTTAACGTCGGCTCCCTTCTTTTAGCCGATTCTTTCGCAGTTTCATTTTGAGAGAGCTTTTGAAATTTACAAATCTTGCAAAAATGCGAGTAAAAATGAAGTATATTTGCAAGAAATTTATCAATCATCAAATCAAGAAATGTTTGCTATTTCGCTGTCGTGATGCAGTCGTGCCAGTCGTTATAATGCAAAATTTAAATTGGACCAATCAGTGTCCGCTATTCATGACAGTCCGCCATATTTTTGAGATCAGTGAGGATGACCACCCATCGTTGGTCACCCACGCCCGCGATATTTGATGAACTTTAGACTCCGCTAATGCTTTCGTTTCCCCGGGTGTAAATAGCCGGGGGGGATTAGTACCCTCGCACGGCGCTTCGCGCCGTCGGCTCGGGGATAATTGTGAATCAGGGGGAGAGTTGAAAGTTACTGATGATGAGGCTCGTAGATATGGAAATAGCGCAGTTATCATAATTGAGTGCTCTAAATGTGACACTAAAATTGAGCTTCAAACTTCGGGAAACAAGAATCAGGGATGGAACCCAAAAAATTCCATTGACATCAATCGACGAATGGTTTACTCCGCAATGGAAATGGGAGTGGGGAGAGATGGAATGTCGGTTATGTGTGATATTTTCAACATGCCGGCGCCTCCTTGCCATCCTAATGCTTGGAAAAATCATGTGATTGCACTGTATGAAGCCCACAAGAAAGCTGTTTCTGAGCAGTTACAGGAAGCAAGAGACAAAGTCTTTTCACGCCACAGTGACAATGAGTCCGATGAGGCAGAGATTGCTGTTAGTTACGATGGCACATGGTCAAAACAAGGGTACACAGCAAACTTTGGTATTGGCTTTGTTATTTCAGCTGACACTGGTTAGGTATTTGACTATGACTTTGAATCAAAGATATGTAGAGAATGTCAAATAGCAAAGAAGGATCTGGGGGGAAGATTCCCCTGAGTTTGATATTTGGTTTGGTGGTCACCAGGAACAATGTACCCAAACTCACACTGGTTCAAATGGATCAATGGAGTGCTCTATCGCCAAGAAGATATGGGGCTGGTCAAAGGAGAACAATCTTCACTATAAGTTTATGATTAGTGACGGTGATAGTAAAGCCTATGCTAGTATCTGGGATACATGTGGTTGCTGTGCTGATTGTGAGAAATGGGAAAACACCGACAAACGTTCAGCTGAGTATAAGAAATGGCATGAATCTAGGGGTTATGTAGAACGGAAGAAAAGTCATGAGAGTGGGAAGGCCGATTGTTCCAGGGTGACAAAGTTGGATTGTGTTGGGCATGTACACAAAAGAATGGGAAGTCATTTGCGGGAACTAAGAAAGAAAGTAACCAAGCTGAAGGATGGGAAATCGGTGAAGGGAAGAAAACATCGACTGACAGACAAAGTGATAGATAAGCTCCAGACATACTATGGCAATGCAATCAGAGCAAATGTCAAACCTGGGAAGCTAACTGCACAACAGCAAAAGGAGCAAATATCCATCAAGCAACAGGCTATAATGGCAGTTCTATAGCATTTATGTGAACTTATTTATGACAAAGAGAGACACAAATTTTGTCCATCGGGACCTGATAGTTGGTGTTCTCATAAAAGAGAAGGAAAACTTCAGAGAAAGGACCATCATTTAGATGCAGTTTTCTTGGAGTTTCTGCTCCCTGAATTCAAGCGTCTGGGTCAGTATTCTCTTTTAATTCGTTGCCTTCCCGTTCATTCGCAGAATGTCAACGAGAGCTTGAACAGTCTTATGTGGAATCATGCCCCTAAACACCGACTTAAAGGACCTCGAGTTATTGAAAATGCTGCAATGTCAGCTGTTCTGGCCTTCAATTGCGGTGCTGCATCAAGACAGGATGTCATGAAGGCTGCAAACATCCCTGGTGGTGAGTTTACCCTGGAAGGCTGCAAGAAAAAAGATGCGACAAGGATGAGGCAAAGTCAAAGTTGAAGAAAAAGGAAAGGAGGAGGAAAATCAGAGAAGCCAAGATTGCAGCAAATCAAAAGAAAAGTAAATCCTCATATGCCAGTGGGAAGTTCAACGATGTTGACCCTCTTGATTATGCTACATCATCGTCTGATGATGATGACTATCCACTAGCTAGACTTTTAGCGGACAATGATTCCGAGGACAGTAATTCCGAGGACAGTGATGATGCCCCATTGGCACATTTCA